TACTAGGTTTATCATTTGTCATTTTTTTCCGATAATGTCGATAATCGTCTGTTACCTGACTGTTGACATCGACATCGCGATACTTACGAGACATCGTCGATATACGATAATATCGTCATATTGCCCAGCCCTAGCTGATACTCTCCAAAATGGCGCTACAGGGTGATGCGGAGGAGACAAACTGTTGAAAAAAGTTTTTTTTTTTTTTTCTTTTCAGGTCTTACGGGTTTGAAAAGACACGAGGGTGAGTAATTAATGACAGAATTTTCATTTTTGGGTGAACTGACCCTTTAAAGTGGTGAAGTTGTTAGGCTGGGATGGAGGGGAGGATGAGGATAAGGACAAGAAAAGCCATGGAAAGATAGGTGGGGGGTGGAGAGACCTACCCTGGACTCGCTGCAACTTAGTTCGGCCAAATGCCATGGGCAGGTTTAGAGGAATGTAGTGCTCATGGTTGCAAACCGTCATAAGGAAATCAAACTTCATCTCTGTAAGCACCTGTAAACATACATTCATGTTTTAATTCACGTCCGAGTTCAGCAACAGAGACATCAACTCTTGTTATTAAGGAACAGTTACAGTAATTACAAATTAGGAAGTATAATATCAAAACTGTTATTGCCGATAACCAATAAATGACCAATATCAAACGCCCATAATATAATATTTTGTTTAATTGTAATGTATTATGTATTTATTTCAAATTCTACAAGTAAATTTAGACATTACAACACTGCAATGTACAGCAAGAATTACATTTAACAGTTTTTAAAAATGTAATTTATCTAAAGGTTAGCTAATGTAATCTAAATGTAATCACAGGTGGAAATAAGCATGCACAATTAAATATCCAATATAAAGTTATACTGACAAAAAAATAAATAAAAATCTAAGTATATCTATCTATTTATATCGTGCATGCCTGACATTTTTGTGATTATAAACCATAATTTTTACAGTGCATAGTGAAAATACATAATTTGCGCCCTTTCAAAGCTTGTGTTTTCCAAGCTTTGCAGTCTAGACAGGCTGTGGCACATTGAATTTGCAAGTAAAAATGAGTCATACATGATCTTATGATATGACATTCCACAATAAAACTCTGTGATATCAACAGCACAGAAGATGTGAACAGAGAAGCTATTCCGCAAAAACCTACAAGTCACACCCATTATCTGGATGTCTGTTATGAAAGACCTCACAGAGAAGACAATCTCTGAAGAATCAAAACCTAAAATAGGTTAGGTTATTTTAGAAAATTAAAAACCCTCAAAGCATTGTTATACTGTACCTGTCAAAGCAAACAGGCCACTTCTCAAAGTATTTCAGAGATTAAATATGTTAAATATTGTTAAAATGATTTCAAATTTGACATGGATTTAGTATGAGATTATAATGTGTGAACAAAAGTAAAGTCATTGTATTTTACAGCAGAATTTCATTATCATCTAAAACTCTCTAATGTTAAGACCACCGGGTTGAAAAAAGAAAAATTATACAAATTAATATTAATAACCCACTGAATAAATGTAAGTTGTTTTGCTTTGAGCATGTAATGCAGATGAACTCTGTTGCCTACCTTTGGATCTTTCAGGCTGAAGCCACACATGTAATCATTTATCAAGCTGAAAGCAAATCCTCGGTTCATGAACGTAAGGCAGCGCTGTGCAGGAAAGAGAGTTTCAATCAGAACAATGTAATGCCACACAATGAGTTTATGTGAAAAATAAAAAAATTTAAAAAAACAATAATGAAGAGTGAAGTGCAACTAAACTTTAGACATACTATATATGAACAATCAAATTTGTTTGACAGTGAGGAGAATGAGGAGCAGGTTTAAGTTTGCTTCAAAGTCTTCAATGTAGGCCAGACATTTAGTCGAATCAAGCAGATCCAGTAGTGACTGCTGGTACCAGAAAAACTAAAAAAACATTTACATCATAACACACTCTTCTGGTGACCAAGCCCAAATGCTGAAACATTTCAAATAATAGCTATTATTAGATGAAATAGATAAAATCACTAATTGTGGGTTATCGCTCCAGGAGATGTGAAAGAGAAAAAAAATGAATCATCAACCTATTCTACAAAATTTTATCTCTTCAGTTTAATTATTATAGTGAATGGCATTTGAAAGGTTAAAGATTAAAGTACAACTGCAGAATATCAAACGCGCTTGTGCAACTTGTGTGGAATTTTTAAAGAACATGTAGACAATGCAATTCAAACAATTAAACTGAAAAATAACATTGAAATGACAAAAATAATAAGATACAAGAACAAATTCTGCTGCTTCGTCACTGCTAGAAAAATATTACATTTGCTGTACTTTACGCAACTAATATACATATTCAGATAACCTTTCACAAGTTTGAGGTCAGTGAGATTTTTTAAATGTCAACTTATTTGATCAAAACTGCAGAAAAACTGTGATATTGTTATTAGAAAACAGTTACTTTAAATTGTATTTATTCCTGTGATAATAAAGCTGAATTATTTTCAGCATCATTACTCCAGCCTTCAGTGTCACATGATCCTTCAGAAATAATTCTAATATGCGTATCTGCTGCTTTAGAAACATTTTTTATTATTATTATCAGTGTTAAAAACACTATTTTTGTGGAAACGGTGATATATTTTTCACAGGATTCTTTGATAAACAAAGTATAAAAAATACTGCAATTATTTAAAAAATACAAATATTTTGTAACATTATAAATGTCTTGACTGTCATTTTTAATCAATTTAATACAACCTTGCTAAATAAAAACATTAATTTCTTATTAATAAAATAGAAGTATTTTATTTAAAAATACTTAATGACCCCAAACTTTTGTCATTAAAACTTTAAGGAAGCACTTAGAGAGCACTAAGTTAGGTCACATGATCCTTCAGAGATCATTCTAATATGCTGATTTGTGCTCAAGACACATTTCTTATTGTTATCAATGTTGAAAACTGTTGTGCTGAGTTAGGCCTGATCTTATTAAAATACCACAGGCTCTAGGCCTCACCTTGATGAAGCAGGCCAGGCTAAAGTTGACACAGCGGGCCTCCTCTGGGATCTCCACATAGCGTATGGTGATGTGAGGCATGATTGACAACAGCAGGGACTGCAGCGCTTGGTGGAACGATTCTGGAAACCTCTGCGCTCGAGGCATCTGCAGAAAATGTACAGTAGGTGGTTTCACATTATTAACTGTCACATAGCAATGCTATGAATGCTACATAGGCTTGCCGCGATAGACGGTGCTGACGGTGATACCGGTGTTAAGCTGCAACACTTGCCCACCGCGTCACCGACCCCCACTGTCGTTTTGATTTTTTATCGAAATAAAAATCATTTAGTTCAGTAAAAGAACAGACACTACAATTAAAAATGTTGTCACACGTTGATTAACCGGTGGGAAAATTTCCTCACCGTCACAACCCTAATGCTACATTGTTGGAAATGGTCATTTGTAAGGAAAGCAGGATTTTATCTGATTTCATTTCAGATATTCTAACCACACGGAAGTCCAATTTTAACAACTGAGAAAAGTTTTTTGTGTGTGTGTGTGTGTGTGTGTGTGTGTGTGTGTGTCATGCAATCTATTGTGCTGAAGGCATGTTTGTTTTAGACACCAGCCTTTAAATGACATACATGTGTCACAGATTCAGGTATGCAAAGAGGATTCAATGACTGACAGAAAGTTCCAAAACTGTTAAACACACATTGTACATGCAAAAGGCAACTCTGTGTCAACAGTACAGTACAGCGCAGCTTTGTTTATGAGTTTAAAGGGTGTGTTTCTTCCCAGATACCTTGATCATGCACACTTTTGAAGACCGAGGAAGTTAACCGCATTCTATGTACAAAAGCCAAAAGTGGAAAGCAACATCCTGCTCGACAGCCCAGGACTATTTACATCCAGCTATGTTTTACTGAAGATGATAACTAAGAAAAGGAAGTGGAAAGGAAAGCCCTATACATTCCTGTTTGATAACAAATGGCTGTTAATTGATTTTGAAGTTTCTTTGAAAAGTGTAAAACATGGGAATGGATTATACTAACTTTCATTCTGTTGCCGTCCTGGAGGTATTGTGCCATTGACTTGGCCATGGTCTCAAAGAAGAACCATGAATACTGTAATACAAGATAGAAAGAAACAGGATTTAATAACAATAATAACACAGATGAACGTCATAAATGTGTACATACACATTACCATTCAAAACACTGAGGTCAGTAAAAACAGAAATATTGTGATATGTTATTAAAATTTAAAATTTCTAAAATATTTAAATTAACCTTTTTTATTTTAGTTAAAATAAAATATTCTATTTTAATATATTTCCAAATGTAATTTATTCCTGTGATGCCAAAGCTGAATTTTCATCAGCCAGTCTTCAGTGTCACATGATCCTTATTTCTAATATGCTTATTCTGTGCTCAAGAAAAAAAAATCTCTTTATTATCAATCATACATTTTTTGGGGATTCTTTGATGAATAGAAAATTCAAAAGACATTTTGAACAGTAATGTAACATGAAATCTAAAATGATACTATAATAATATTAATATATACTGTATAGCATATCATATCACAGGAATGTGAATGTGTGCCACTATATTTTTAAATATACATATAAATGTACAATATACCACAACATAATCACAAAAGTAAAACAAAGTGAAAGTGAACTGTCTTGCTGAAACAATGGACTTATTATTCTACCACACTACGATACGATCTCTGACACCAGCCAAAGTCAAACCAGTATTCTGTTATCTAATTATGTAAAGGCAAGTTCCCTCAAACCTAGTTCTAAGAAAGCTTTGAGAACTGAATTCCAAGAAAATGTGTCCTTGGACATGGTTATGTAAAGACTTTAAGGAGACGCAAAGTCTGTATGAAACAAGGTGGTTACAGTGAATTAAATACACTGAGAAAGTTCCAGTGGTACAGTCATATTATTTGGGTGTGAATGGTCATGTAGCGATAAAATTTTTTTTTGGAACAACCCACCAATTCCTGGTAACTGACTTGGACAATAAACCCCAATTCTGAAGTAAATCAAAAAGATAGAAAATAAACACAAGGGCGCCATCTTCTGTGCAAAAAGAGTAGCTCATATTCACCATAACCGAAAAGTTTTGTCACCTTGAGGAGTTTGTTGCAGGTGTTGAAGTCTGCAGTTTGTTTGAGGATGACAGTTCTTCACCATTCCCACATCTCAGACCTCAAATACATAAAATATTACCCTTTTTAGACATAGTTTTTGAAGTAAAGAGTAGAGAAAATACTATACAAAACTTATTGAAACAACCAGGTGCCAGTTGCATAAACTTAGCCACCATGTTAAGACTGTGTCTTAAGAACTTGACCAACTAGCAGTTGCCAAGGGGTAATCACTAATCAGTCTTACTTTTCCAATACAAATAAGACCAATCTACCTTTTCATAACTGAATTAAAAAAGTTATGACCAGTAAAAAATGAGATGACTAACTTTTTAAGACTAGTCTAAACAGTTTATGCAATTATGCAACCGGCATAATTATTAACCCTTGTAAGATCACAAGTACCCTTGTAAGACCCCTCTTGCAAGAAGGCCCCCCCCTCCTCCATAAAAACACTTTCTCATTGGATCTAAGCAAATCTCATAGATGACCTATTTTGATCTCAAAAAAGTGAGTTGTCACTGAAAGGTGAGGAGTTTGCATCTATGAAAGGAATTGTTAATTGGTTATTAGACTAATAATTAATTATACTATAATAGTTTGCAAATGATTAGTAAGTACTTCATTACTTTGTACTTACAAAAGAGTTACCAAATAACTTTTTTCTTTTTTATTATTCTGATTTCTTATATTATTATTCTTTTAAACTAAAATTGCTTTTGCACCTGGCTTTTAATATGGTCGAATGTGATCCAATCAACAAATACATGGCAATGCCAGGTTTAACAGAAAGTTAAAATGTAAATGTTGTACCTTCAGAAACATGCGTAGGTAATGTTCCAGACCCTCCTCATGACACTGAGACACTATGTGAATGATTACCCTGAGACAAACAGAGGCACATCAGTAATGGAGCAATACTGCATACAAAACAGTAATACAGAAGTGATAATATAATATTCATAGGCCAGTCTGCATACAAAACAGTAATACAGAAGTTCTGTCTTTCCGAGAAGACAAATAAAGTGGTAAATCACCGTGTGGAGTTGACAGCAATATCTTGACTCTCTTTGCTTGCCATAGTGAGGACTTCAAAGAGCTGAACGAGCACCGTAGGCAGGAACTTGATGATGACCTGAGTCTCTACTGCATGTAGGCACTTGGAAATGAGACAGGAATATGAAAGAGATTATGTGACACTGTAGTCTGGAGTGATGGCTGCTGAAAATTCAGATTTGCCATCACAGGAATAAAGAACATTTATTCAAATAGAAAAGTCATTTTAAAACGTAAGAATATTTCACAGTATTACTGTTTTTTTTACTGTATTTTTCATCAAACATATCCAACCTGGGTGAGAGTAAGATGCTTCTTTCAAAAATATGAAAGTTTGTTTTAACAGTAAAGTACATGCTCATTTCCAAAATGTGCGCCAAAGGAAAGCTTTGAAAAGATTCAACATTAAAATAATGTCCGCTGTTATGAAAAAAAATGTAAAAGGCACATCACACTATGTATTTTTGAAAACATAACATGGTGTAATATTGTTAAACGTAAATAAAATGAGGATATCCCACATTTTCCTTTGTTCACATGTAATTCTCACCTTTAGGTACTTGACGAGTTCAGCAGGATTGCCCTGTGACGCTGACTTCATCAGCTGGCAATACTGGAAGAAATTGTGGAGGTGCAAATCCTGGATGGACGAGGGTTACTACATTTAATGCTTTTGTTTTACAAAACATGTCATTACTCTCTGTTCAGTACAATGGAATTTGGCTGAACTATCCTTAGATCAGATCAACATACCTGAGTGTAAATTGTTGATGCTACATATGCTCGCACTTTAAATAATGGTTTGGCATTCTCCACCCATTTGATGTATGGAAAACACTGCAAAAAAACACAAAAAAAATGACTGAATGAATCAGTGAATCAATCCCACCAGCCTAACCGAACCAACCAACAAACAATGAATTTTCAGTGTTGTAAGTAAGATTTCACCTTCTCTGAGTCTTGGCTTTTGTCATAGATGTAACCAGCTGGTAGATTAGCAGACACAGGAAGTTGTAGCTCTGAGGACTGTATTCTGCCATCCTTCAATAAAGGAGCCCAGGAGTAACCCACTGTAGAGAGCAAGAGTTAAAGGTATATTCCTTACACACACACACGCACAACCATTCGATCATATGCGGTCAGTAAGATTTTTGAAAGAAGTCTCTTATGCACACATAGGCATTTATTAAGAATATTGTGAAAACTTCAAAGTATAGTGTATACAACACACAAGCACACACTCACCCAGTGTTTCCACTCCATCCCGTTTCTTGGTGGTGGTTTTGTTGCCAAGCTCACAGCTTATGTGGTAGAAAGTAAAGAGAACATGATGCTTCTCATGGACATGAACAGGAAGCTCGATTTTAATCTGTGACAGAAATGAAAATATTTGAACGTTAGTGAAATCTTTACCAGTTTCTTGTATAGAAAGCTTTGTGTTTTTTATAAGCCTAATTATGACTCATAAAAAACCAGTACATGACAATGTAAACATGTCATTGTGATTAATTTCAACCAAACGGACGGAGTAAATGACAGATCTTTTCATTTTTGCTGAACTACTCCTTTAAGGCTCACCAGCTGATGACATCATTAGACTCGGTCCAGCAAATCATCAAATAGATGCAGGCTATGTCTGTGCACACTGTCTATGTTGATGTCTTGTGACTCATTCATCTATTGAACACACAATTTGTCTTTAATATGTTGGCCCTGAGGGTCCGGTGAAGCCTAACAGGATGTGTCTCTATCTTACTGAGCATAAACTTTGGAACAGTAGTGTATACAACACACAAGCACACAAGCACACACTCACCCAGTGTTTCCACTCCATCCCGTTTCTTGGTGGTGGTTTTGTTGCCAAGCTCACAGCTTATGTGGTAGAAAGTAAAGAGAACATGATGCTTCTCATGGACATGAACAGGAAGCTCGATTTTAATCTGTGACAGAAATGAAAATATTTGAACGTTAGTGAAATCTTTACCAGTTTCTTGTATAGAAAGCTTTGTGTTTTTTATAAGCCTAATTATGACTCATAAAAAACCAGTACATGACAATGTAAACATGTCATTGTGATTAATTTCAACCAAACGGACGGAGTAAATGACAGATCTTTTCATTTTTGCTGAACTACTCCTTTAAGGCTCACCAGCTGATGACATCATTAGACTCGGTCCAGCAAATCATCAAATAGATGCAGGCTATGTCTGTGCACACTGTCTATGTTGATGTCTTGTGACTCATTCATCTATTGAACACACAATTTGTCTTTAATATGTTGGCCCTGAGGGTCCGGTGAAGCCTAACAGGATGTGTCTCTGGAATGATTCAGCTATTCATATCCTTGACGTGCTTTGTGCTGTTTACGCCTCAGTCTGATCAAATGTTAATAAAGTAAATGTAATATTTTTAGATCTCAATAATAACATAGGGCTGTGTTCATATTTTGTGAACGGTTTACAAATTACATGAACAAATTACATGTTTTTTAAGAATAATGATGGTTTAACAATAATATTAATGTGTTTTACTAATTAAAAATTATAATAATATGATGTGTTGTCACCGCTTGATAAATTTATACAGATTATTAAAGGTGGACAGATCTTTTCATTTTTGCTGAACTACTCCTTTAAGGCTCACCAGCTGATGACATCATTAGACTCGGTCCAGCAAATCATCAAATAGATGCAGGCTATGTCTGTGCACACTGTCTATGTTGATGTCTTGTGACTCATTCATCTATTGAACACACAATTTGTCTTTAATATGTTGGCCCTTGAGGGTCCGGTGAAGCCTAACGGGATGTGTCTCTGGAATGATTCAGCTATTCATATTCTTGACGTGCTTTGTGCTGTTTACGCCTCAGTCTGATCAAATGTTAATAAAGTAAAAGTAATATTTTTAGATCTCAATAATAACGTAGGGCTGTGTTCATATTTTGTGAACGGTTTACAAATTACATGTTTTTTAAGAATAATGATGGTTTAACAATAATATTAATGTGTTTTACTAATTAAAAATTATAATAATATGATGTGTTGTCACCGCTTGATAAATTTATACAGATTATTAAAGGTGAGATATTGTATTGCTGTGCAGTTATTCAAAAGAATAACACTTCATGATAATATACGAATCTCACCTCATCATAAAACTCTGGACACTGATTGTGATGCAAAACTGCAGCAAAAGCACTGGTGGTGAAAAGTGGATCCCCTGGCTTGCCATAGATGCACTAAAAGCAAACAGTGGTTCATCAATTACACATTAAATGTCACTAAATATTAAATATTAAACAACTGGTGGAATAAAACTGGTGCCACACACAGAATAATTATATAGTCACCTTCAACGGGGCGGCTCCTTCATCATCAGAATCCTTGAACTGAACACAAATTGCAATGTTTCGAGCCTGGAAGAAAAAACAGACACTGTTTCAGACTGCATTACATACATTAGGAAATTTTTTCTATATATACAGACGGACGGACAGATAAAACAAATAGCTATTTTGCAAATGAATAAAACTGAATGAAAGCCAATAAACAGATGTCATTAGTATCATTGAGAAACAGATCTGTAAACATGTTTGGTAGCATCTCTAATCTAGAAGAAAAGAAGTTTGAGAGTAACAGGGCAAATAGCCAGTAGTATGAGCTTTCCAGCAGTGGAGGAGGACACAATTAACCCTGAAGTCTGTTTAATTACAGATAGGATCTTTGGTGAATTTATTATGAATAGTATCCCTGGGGCTTTTCACAGAGCCTCATGTTTGAAAACATGTAGGCAGACATTGTTACAGCTCGAAGAAGCTTGTTGTTGCACCACCACCCACAGCTTCCCAGTTCCGCTAATTACAGAATGTGCGTTGGGAAATGTGAGGAATCTCACCTTGGCAAATGTCTTCTGATTGTCGTATTTGAGTTGCTGAGGATAGATGTAGAGATGGTTCTTGTAGATGGTGAATGGGTGGTTGTATCTGGCCTCTTGTGGGACAAACTCCTCCACTTCCACGGACACCCTCTCACACTGCTCCTCAAACGGCTTCACAGGAATATAAAATGATGTGACAGAGTCTGAGAAGATAAAGGTGATACATTAAATATCATACGTTATATGTTAACCCTCATGTTGTGTTGTTAATTTTGAAACAGAAGCTATGTTTCCATCACCCTGTTTTTATGCGCATTTTGAAGTATCGCATCAGAAACGAGTGATGGAATGCCAAATTTCAGAAAAAAAACCCTTAATTCGCAAATACGTTTTTACGCTCGCTTGAGGTGGTTTTTGACTTGTGCGAATAAGGGTTAATGCAAATAATGGGTGATGGAAACGCATTTTGCGAATAAATTCCTCCATGCGCATAAAAAAGTCATGTGACTTTGCGCTATGGAACAGCATAACCTGAGTAACCAGCAGACCGATCTTGATGCACAGCATCTGAAATGTCATTATGGTCATTCTGAAATGCCTTTCAGAAAAATATTTCTGTATAATTGCCTCCCAGAACTGTCTTACACGAATGCGCTCCCAAACAGCAGGCATCCACCTCTGAAAGCAATGACCGCATTTATTGTGCCTGCTCACTCTGATTTTACATATAAAAACGATTATTTTCAGTGGCTTCTCCTACTTTTCTTAGTGATAATTAGTGGCAGTTTATCAGGAGGTGATGGTTTTGTTCTCTTTGACTCGTTGGATGGAAACGGTGCTTAGTCGCAAATGTTTTATGCGATATTCCAATTTTGCTTTAACTTGCAACTTTAAATGGAAACTCAGCTAGAGAGGATTTTCTTTTTTCCGAAAATGCCAATTGATGTTATCGCATTGGACTAAAACCTACTGACTTTGCTCACACTGCAAGATTTTTGATAATTTATGTACTTTTTGGGATTTTTACCCCCACCTTGTTAGCATCATGACACGCAATTTTTAACAGGACAGTCATCAGTCCAAGAACACAATCCTAGGATTTTCAGCACAGCACAAGGGTTAAATCATGAAAACAAAATGTGTCCACAGTGTACAAATTGGCATCCCATTCCTTTTTTTAAAAGTAATAAAGGTACAAATACCAGATTTATTTAAATATAATTATTAAAAATGATTGAGATCAAATTAATCTAGCTAGTTATCAACAAAAAGACTGTATTCCTAATGCAGATTGTATCAAACTCAGTGATACAATCTCTTAAACAGATATTCAATAAAAAAATTTTTTTTGTAAATTATTATTTAATTAGTTAATATTTAGCAAAAGCATAATGTTTAGTTGATTCTGCATGATTTTCCCCATTGCAAAAAATTGAACATTACACATTCCATAAAACTGACACCTAGGAAGTGACATCATTTTGTGCAACCATGTTCTCAGTGATACAATGATCAAAAACTGTTCATTTATAAACGGACTTTGTTTCTATGAGTTACAAAAGGCATCATATGCTAAAAATGTGCCTTTAAAGAAATTGTTACAGAGAATTTAATAAGTCTACGCCTTATAGATTTAGAAAGAGGTGTTATCAAATATTAAAAGCCAAAGGAGTTAAAATAACAGACAAACAAACTTACTTGACAAGTCTGGAGGTACACACTCAACAGTGATGTTAATTTGTCCAGGGATTATCTGCAGTTTGCTCTTCTCTGGTCTACGAACAAAAATGTCTCTTCAAAACATTCATTATGCATAATGCAATAAAGTGACTAACAAGCAAGTACATTCATGGTGGATGACGGAGATTTTGCCAAGTGGAACAAGCCATTCACATCAACAATTTAGTGATAGGCAAACAAGTAGGTTTAATCTTAAAGGCTTTTACACCATTCTTATCACTTCTCTCTGATTTAAGGCTAGTGTGTAGGTTAGGGATCAAATTAGGACAATGACTGTTTGTAGGATTGTTGTTACAGGCCAGGAAAATTTCTTATTGGGCAAAATCACATTGACCATTAAGGGACACTAGGCATCAAAAGACTAGTAAACATTATCACTCACTTCTTGAGATCTGTCAGCAGTTTGATGAGGTCTTCAGTGGATATCTTGCTACTGTCTTGGCGGTAGAGCGGAGAGAACTTCCCCTCAGTGTCTAAACTGCCTTGGGAGTCTTTGAACACCTGTCTGAAGACACACAACACACATATCCTTGGTGCCAGAAATGAACTTTAAAACACTTACACATTACCTAAATATGTACTAAAGCAATTTCCGAAGAGTACTGACTGTGACATTCCAGTTTGAAGGGCACGTAATTCTACTTGACGTAGAACATAGATCATTTAAGCCTTACTAGTCCATCAAGTGAATAAGGATTGAGTTTCTGTGTCTTACTTGGCAGCCCAAGCGAAGGGCATGCGGTACTGGCCCAGCCGCTGGCACGTCTGCTTGGCAGTCTTCAGGACTTTCTGTACCGTCTGAGAAACAGACACATAAAAAGGCATGGAAATATTCTACAGCACATTCTGGAAGTGTTTAAATTTGAGACAATTCAGGCCCAAAACATTACTTAACAGCCAATAATTGTATAAATACAACACATTTTTCAGACTGACATTTGCAATGTTAAAATGCATCCTAGACACTGCAGACAGCTTGTTGATGTTATGCAACTCTCTATTCTAGTAGAAAGACGTCATGACTAAGAACAGTTTTTACAGTTCTCTTGAAGCATGCGTTTGTTATTGAGCACCAGACCTTGCTGATGTCGGCGGTCTTAATGTAGGGCTCAGCGCAATGGGTGATGCCGTTCTGTAAAACTTTTTCCACCCGGGCCAGCAGGAAGATGTCTGTGTGGGGGTTGGTAACGGAGAAAATACCCTGGAAAACACAAAGGACACACTGTGGTTATACGAATAATTAGAAGTGAAAAGGAAAAGGAAATTTACTGACAGAACATTAAAGATTAATTATGGAAGTTCAGTGTAATTAACTCAAGTCATTTAAAAGAAAAAAAGTGGGAATGCAGTGGTTGGTTTAAATAGCTATTTCATTCATTTGTTGCTGGGTTGAACAAAAACAACAACAACAACATGGATAATTATAATTATTGTTATTATTACGGTCATTCTATTCCAATTTTTCAAACAAACAAACACACACACATACACATACACATACACATATACAGTGGGTACGGAAAGTATTCAGACCCCCTTAAATTTTACACTCTTTGTTATATTGCAGCCATTTGCTAAAATCATTTAAGTTAATTTTTTAATGTCAACAATTCTGTGTTTTTCAATCAATATGGGGTGCTGTGTGTACATTAATGAGGAAAAAAAATTAACTTAAATGATTTTAGCAAATGGCTGCAATATAACAAAGAGTGAAAAATTTAAGGGGGTCTGAATACTTTCCGTACCCACTGTACATACATAAATAAATAGACAGATACTTTAATTATTATTATTATTGTTATTTCTGGTCATTATTCTCAACATTTTACATAAATACGACTGTGAAAGCTACACAGAAAGTGTGCTGACTGTTTTTGAGAGACTCTCATTGGGCCACAATCCAAATTTTAAAGCATAGGCTGCTGAGATGCCTCTTTTTAACCTCTCTGAGCCCTGAAGACTTGTTCTATGCACTTTTGCGCTACACTGTAAAATCCAATAGTTTACCTTACTTAGATTTAATTCGTTATCTTTACTTAGTTGTTATACTTACTAGGTTTTATTAAGTTACAGCTACTTTCAAGGCAAATAAAACAATTTACTTACTGTTTTGAGTGACGCTTACTTAAAATATTCAAGTAGCCACAAAGGAACCAATGACATTAATAAAGCAGTGAGAGGCAGCAGTGCACTAATATGTTGCTAATGTGCAACATAACAAAAGAAGAAGAAAAGAAAAACAGTCTTATGCTGGGTACACACCATAAGATAATCGGGCTGATTTTGGGTCGATTTCTCCCCCTCCGACAATCCTAGGTAATGTCCCGATTATCTTGGTGGTTCTAAAGATTATCTTATCGGATTTTCCTGTGGTGTGAGGTGTGTTAAGAGTGACTGAATCTGCTCGGAAGAACGTCGGAGGCGCCCCAATCCCGAATCGTAAATATTCAACATATTGAATATTTCGGGGGGGGAGGAACCCCGAAAACACCACACACTATAGGAGCAAAACAGTTAAATCTAGGATTTTTTTGTCCTCATGTTTGTGGTCTCTCACATTTTGAAGATCTTATAAGATTTAAAAAATCTTTTAGTGTGTACCCAGCATTAATAGACTTTTCACTACACTGTGGGGAAGTCGTGGCCTAATGGTTAGAGAGTCGGACTCATAACCCAAAGGTTGTGGGTTCGAGTCTCGTACCGGCAGGGATTGTAGGTGGGGGGGAGTGAATGTACAGCGCTCTCTCCCACCTTCAATACCACGACTGAGGTGCCCTTGAGCAAGGCACCGAACCCCCAACTGCTCCCCGGGCGCCGCAACATAAATGGCTGCCCACTGCTCCGGGTGTGTGTTCACGGTGTGTGTGTGCACTTTGGATGGGTAAATGCAGAGCACTAATTCCGAGTATGGGTCACCATACTTGGCCACATGTCACGTCACTTTCACTTTTTTTTCACTTTCACTCATTTCCTCCTAGTTGCATTCACTCGTTTCCCAAAGTCATCTTGAATGTTGAATTTTCAATACAACTGAAATATTTGAGAGAACTTCACATAAGCCAACTTCATAAATTGATGTTGATTTTCCTAAAATGTGTGTGTTGTTGTTTTTTTAACTCCCCATTATAGTGATTAGCGTTCCCTTTGGTTGGGCACTTAGAACTTTGTTTATGTTAATATGATTTTCTTCCTGATAATGCAGTAATGCATCATGAAGTCAGAGTTATTTGATTTCAAGGGAAGAAAAGTAATAAATAGGTTGCTTTTAGAAAGTGACCTATCTTCTAATTAAAGCATTACTGTAAAGAAAAGTAATAAATAGGTTGCTTTTAGAAAGTGACCTATCTTCTAATTAAAGCATTAGTGTATTTTTTGTGTGTGTGTTTATTAATGAACTTTTTCAAATTTCATTTTTCATAAATACCTTGAGATGCTTTTAATTGGGTTTATATAATCCTTAAATAGTGTGTGGTAATATGCTAAAGTCTTTATTTAGCATCAGAGAATAAAATAATTTATTCTGCCGCAATGCATTCTGGGAGTCAGTGAGTAGCTATACTAAGTCATGAGTAAACCTAAATGAAAGGATCAAGTACCCCCTACAGTTCTTTTTTAGTTACTAGAACTCTCGTGTAAGTAAACTCTACTAACTAAGCAGTTGTCAGTGCAACATACTATTCCTATTTCCATTTACTTAGTTTTTTCAAGCCAATCGGGTTGCATGCTTTTTTTTAAGTAAGCCCAACTAATTAGATTTTACAGTGTACCATTTCATCATCAAAAGAAATCAAAATCATAACAAACTAAACTGCAATACATTGTTCAAGCCATTGTACTAGTTGTAGTGTCTGTTTGTCTCTCAAACACGTCCAGCCATCTCTACTTCATGTCAGCTGCCCTGCGTTATGTCAGTTCCAGTAAAGCCATGTCATGTTTCCCAGGCTGCCAGCAGAGGCTTGAGACCGTCATGGCACTGGCTTTGATTTAGTGCATAGAGTTAGTGCTATGAAACAGAGCTGTGTTAAACCTAAAGCCGTTTCTGCCCTGGCAACATGCCTTGTACAGAACAGCAAGTTCAAACACACAGATAAGTAAGCCTTGAGAGGATTAGTTAAATACAACAATCCATGATTTAAAATGGGAAAACTTCAATACCAGAGATAAAAAGATGCATTTATTTAGCAGAGCTCTCCGTATCATCCTGCATTATAAGGCATCAGGCCTGCAAAAGGTGACAGATAAATAATGAAGCAAAAACTTGTCTTCAGTTGCATTAAACGTAGTGCTAATGTGGCATGAACGTTCACTTGCACATGATTGTGCATGTGGCTGTTATTGCAAAATGGTCACAGGCTTTCAACAGAAGGCAGAAATACAATGACAAGTGAAAATGACGCAAGTCAGCCAAACAATAACTATATTCAGCCACCTGCAGCCCTGCAAACTGCATGGATGTGCAAAATTCTGAAACCACATTGACTTCCCCATCAGAAGCACGGCAGAAGCATCCTTCTTATTCAGCAGTGCTGGACAATGCTTACTGGGGAGGGTTGCCAGTCATTTGCAGAAATATTCAGCAATGTGCAGATTTTAAAAGGTGACCAGGATAAATCTGTCACAAACTAAAGAACAGAAAGCTCTCTCTCTTGATTTGCTTAGGATTTTTTACCTGGTGGACCATAAAGCAGGCAAAAATCCCATTTACTTCCTTTAAGGAAAGGAGCCACTTCTAGTGACCAATGGTGGCAGTGCTATTTTAGTATGATTGAGATACTATTATAGCTTTAATTAATATTTAATTTTTTTAATTACATTTTCTCTTTTTATTCTAGTTTTAGTTAAAGTATAAGTAATTTTGATCTGTTTTTTTTTTTTTTTAATAATTAAGGTCTATAGTTTTATTCATTTTATTTTTTTACAGTTTTAGTTTGTTATTTTAATACATTAAGTTAAACTAAATGAAAATGCTGAAATAAAATGTTTAAATTGTTTTATATTTAATTTAATTTAATTTCAGTTCATTTTATTTCAAATAACAAAAACATATGTTTTGGTTTTAGCTAACTATAATAACCCTGCTCGGAAATGGATTCTCCTGATTATTATATTATATTATATTATAAAAGTCTTTCTATAAGATCATTTCATCACTATTGTGACACTATTGGAAGTACAGCATTTTCTTTCAGCGAAGACTTTTATTAATTGATTTCAGAGACTATAACACCTCTAGAAAGTAGAAATTGTAACAGTTTCAGTATGATGAGCTTTTACCTGAGTGGGGAAGCGTATAAGAGACTCCGCGACCCTCTGGAGAACTGGCAGACCGTGTCCGTTTATCCTGACTGTTTCATATCCATATCCTCCTTCTGGTTCTGTTGGTGTCCCCGGAGAAGCTTCTTGAAGCATTTCCCTCACGCAGGGTGGATTGAGGTCAACATGAAAGTCTGCAGAGATCTTGCAACCTTTGGACAGATCAAACAACGCTAGGCTGATGAAGAACGGCTCTACCTAAGGAGAAAACAAAAAGTGTGGAATGAATGATGCTGATGAGTTATTACACCGTATTTGACATCTTTACTCTAGTCATTTCGATTTAAGCAAGCAATCTGCCTGAGCATGCTGTGAGGACCATATAGTTTGTTATTGATAAAGATTATATAATTTAACGACAGCAAATTAGATTCAAGCAAAAGATGTATTTATGTAACCACACCTCTGTATGTAATTTTACTCCATTCGCATCAGTCATGTCTCTTTAGATCATTTAACATAGTGTGGGAAAGTCAATGCGTTCTGAGGAAGCAGCAGCTTTCCAAACCCTGCTGATGAGCGCCAGCATTCCTTCCCTGGAGCCATTGAAAGTGCTTCACTGAGCATAACCATATTCATCACTATCCTCTGTCCTCATGCCAACAATCTCTAATTCATCTCTCATTAAAAGAGCTCCATGATATTCAACTATAATGACCTATAACTGCTGTTCTCTGACAGTCTAAGCTAGAGAATAGCTCAAATAATTGACATTTATTATTTAACCTGGGGCCTAAATAAGTGAATTCAGGGTTTTCATGTGATTAGTGTTTGTAGCTTAAAAACATATGGTTTTAAAAATACATACATTAATATTTTACATTTATATTTAGCAGACACTTTTATCGACTTACAAATGAGGACAATAGTAGCAATCAAACCAACAAAAGAGCAATAACATAAGTGCTGTGACGAGTCCCAGTTAGTCTAATGCAGTACGTGTAGCAAGGTTTTTCTTTTATTTTTTTTATAATAAACAAAAAGAAAACATGCAGATAGAATAAAAAAAAAAGAATAGAGAACTCTAGTGTTAGAGGGTAAGTTACTTTTCTTTTTTATCACATATCCTCTGTACAGGGCATTAGGACTAGGAAAAGGCAGGACTATACGATAGCTAAAAATATATATTTAATTTATAAATCAATTTTTAGGCTTTGAACTACAGTGTGTTTGTCTTTAACACTGATATTTTACAATGTTTAAAAAGGTTATATTTCAAATTTAGATTTTAAAAAGACTATAATTTGCTTTTTTTTTGTATGTACACCAGTATACATATAAATATGCATTTAAATTAGCAGTTCAGCACTTTCTATTATTATTATTATTATTACTACTACTACTATTATTATTTAATTGACTATAGCTAAATGTATTTTCAACTTTGCATATTTAACAAATAAAAAATAAACTAAAAATAATTATTATTATTGTTGTTATTCTTTAGTCATCTTTTAATATAAAGAGTTTTACTCTAAGATTTTTTAAACAGATACATGCAAATGATGATTTAAAATAATATGCCTACTATTCTTCTTTCTATAATTGTGATGTCAGACATATTTAAAAACCAAGAGGAGGAAGTTGTCATGGCCAAAGCCACAAACTCAAGTACAGGATATCCTTTTTAAGATATACCAGGACTCTCTCTATATATGAAGAAATTCACAAAAACAACTTGCATCTACAGAGGACAAATATGAATGGCGTAGTCCCACCAGGGTAACAGAGCACAATGGTATAATTATGATTGTGCTTAGAAAACAATAGGATATACTGCATTGGCTAATATCGATCATGATTTTTCATAGACTTTCATAGACTAATGTGTCTAAGATCAACATTACAGTAGCATTGGTAGCATCACAAAACAGGACCAACAGGATCAAGAAAAAGTGACACTGGCAAACAAGATGAAACTCATAGATTAGGGCTTACTCACGTTGGTTAAGATGGCATCATTCTTCTCACTGACACATCCTTGAAGGCTAAAGGTCAAGTCGTGACAGCTAACCGTGATTCTTCGTCCAAATCGCTCTTCAAATGGCTTCACGTCAGGCTCGATGCCTGAAAAATCTAATCTCTGAAGAGGAATAGAGAGATATCATTCATTCATTTTCAAACAAGCAAAGAAAGACTGTCTTCTAATAGCTGTACATTGGACATAATGGACTAACCTGCGTCTCAGGATCCAGGGTGAAGATCTTCTGTCGACCTTCATTCCTGCTCATTTTATTCAGCTGGTCGGTTTCTCTGGCATACTGGAGATAACAGGACAAAATACTGTTTGCATTTTTAAAAACATATAAATAAACAAATAACAAAATTCACCAAAATGTGATATAGAGAAAAGAGCACAGTGCTTAAATAATAGTTCACTCAAAATTGAAAGCTACCCAAGATATAAATGCATTTGTTTCTTCATCGGAACAGATTTGGATAAATTTAGCATTACATAACTTGCTTTCCAATGGATCCTCTGCAGTGAATGGGTGCCGTCAGAATGAGAGTCCAAACAGCTGATAAAAAACATTACTATAATTCACAAGTAATCCACACCACTCCAGTCCATCAGTTAATGTCTTGTGAAGTGAAAAGCTGCGTGTCTGTTTTTAACTTCAAACCGTTGCTTCCAGCTAAAAATATGAGTACTGTAAATTTAATCTAATCTGAATCATGATAGAAATATGTATAGATCAAGCACTGTTTACAAGTGAAAATGGTCCAAAACTGTTCTGGAAAACCGGGGATGGAACTGGAGGAAGCGTTATTACAGATTATGGACTCATATTTTGGTCAGAAGCAACAGTTTAAAGTTAAAACACCTTAATGATGGACTTGTTTCTTAACACGCAGCTTTTAACTTCACAAGACATTAACTGATGGACTGGAGTGGTGTGGGTTACTTGTGGATTATTGTGATGTTTTTATCAGCTGTTTGGACTCTCATTCTGACGGCACCCATTCACTTGATCCATTGATGAATAAGTGATGTAATGCTACATTTCTGCTCCAATGAATAAACAAACTCATCTACACCTTGGATGGACCTGAGGGTGATTACATTTTTAGCAAATCTTCATTTATGCGTTAATATACTTTGTCCCACAATTCATTGAAATCAATTCGACCTTCCATTTGTAGTACAATGAATAAACCAGAAGCAAAATCAATCGCAATTTTTAATATCTCTTTCTTGACTTTTTTTTTTAACTGACCTGTCATAATTTAAGACATTTAAGCAAATTAGTGGACTATAAATGCAAAATAATATTTATTTCTGTGACGCCACTGAATTAAACAATGCAACACGATGAGATCAGGTGACAACAATAAAGCATGCTTCTGTTTTGTGCATTATTGCATACTATTACATATTTTTGAGTAGTAAACAGTCAGCAGTATATACAGCACATTATGCAATAGACAATATTCCAGTATTCTGAACTCAGCCACTTAAAATGCACAAAGAAGTGTTCAAACCACTACAGATAGCATTGTAATGATTTTGTATCAAGTACCTTCATTAGCTCTGGATGAAGACTCCGGCCAAAGCTCTCCGCAATGTTCTCTGGTTTCCCCTGACTACTGCTGTCGTCATCTGTTTGGACGAGACACTTGTTAATCAAAAGGCAAACTGATTCATTCTAACTGAAGATGCATGCATAACAGACAAAGCGTTTTATTATTATGTAGTGTGTGAATATGGGCTTATCTCCGACACCAAGCAAAACAATGAAAATGGTCTTTAGCCACAGCTGGCTGCTACTTTTAAAAAAGTAACAGACAAAATCTTATATTTGCTGATCAAGGTGTTGGACATATTTGAAAGTAAAATGAGTTTCTAAACTGCTCCACTGGAACAGAAAGCAGTACCATTAACTGTAATGTGTGTGTGTGTGTGTGTGTGTGTGTGTTTAATGGTGTCAAATCTGGGACACTAGGTGGAGCTTTCTGGGAAATCAGCTGCCCTCATTTATTCATGTAGACACTAGAGAAGGTGGGCTGCTACAAGATTTATCTCCACACTGTGAGGTGGAAGATTTTTAAATGGCTGCTTGGTTCTTATACTGTCACTTTCCATAAAGAGGTTACACACTGGTCTGGTTTTATTCCATTATACAGATTTGGAAAACTATTATCTAACACAGGACACAAAATATCTATCTCTCTCCTCTTGTTAAAATGGTGATTTTGGCCTAAATCCTGCAATTAAGATCAAATCAACAACGTAGTAATGTTAGTATAATCTGTTTAATCGATAATCAATTCACTGCATTAATGTTTTCAATTATTAGCTTATTTTAATGACAAAAAAATGTTAGCCCACATTTAATTTATGCAATCCTTTTAAATGCATTTTCTGAAGCACCTTTCGTTGCTGAAAAAGGAAAAAAACTTTAAAATATTACAGACTCTATTTTGCACACCATTCATGGAAAGTGCTTGGTATACTATCTAGACTTACAATAAACAAAACAAATGCCTTTCAACACCGATCTGAATTCTGTATATTAGTCATTCCAAAAGCCGAGAAGTTAGCGATTGAAAGCACGTTATTGAAAACATAATTTCATTTCCTCATGACCAGCACATGGAAGGTCTTAAAAACAAACGCCACTATTGACCAAAGTTTATACCACAGAAGCACAGGGAGTTGTTTATCAGTGTCTTTACTGAACAGGCCAAAAGTAGCATTCCCTTCACAGCTCCTCTATATGAATACAGCCTCCCGAACATTTCAGTAATCTGTCAACACGAGAATATTTACTCAAAGTCCAAACGACTGCCTCCTATAATAAAACAGCAGAAACTGTACTAATACTATTATTCAGCTGGCCTTATTTGAATACAGAGAAAACATCAAGTTCAATAGGTTTCAAAAAGGCCCCAATATAAAAACAATTTGGAAGAGGCAGAATGGGAACTATGCATCCTTTCAGGAAGCAGCACATACCAGAATTTGCCTATGTTGCCAAAATGCTCGTCATTTGGTTATGTGGGGGGATCGTTTGGATATTTTCATTAGGAAGAGGGCGGTATTTGTTCCCAGACGAATGGGAATCAGGGAGAACAGCCAATTAAAAACTGCTCATTGTTGGTAATTTGGGAGTGATCATGTCTTCTTTGATGATGGTGCAATAAGTTACATCATTAAAGTGATGATGGTGCTCACACAATTGAAATGCTTAAAAGGATAGTTCAAAACTCATGATGTTCCAAATCAGTAAAGTTTATTTTATGGAGAAAGTCTGAAGCATCTTCACATGTGTTAATGGGGGTGTGTGTTTTTTACCCAGAGAACCTTCAGAAGGTTCTGATCCGTTCCTCCTGTCATCCATCGCGCTCAGTAAGCTCTGTTTCAGCGTGTTTACCCACTCCTCCATCTCGGCCTCGCTGTCTGCCGCCAGATAGTGACTGTTACCTTCCTGCATCTTCAGCTCAAAGCCATTGCGCTTCATCTTAGGACACTGCAAGAAATGTGCTGCGTCAGTCGGTGGAGGAATTTAATGGTGTGACTTTAAGAGCTGTTTGTGGTTATAATAATAATGGGTGTTCGGCAAGGAAGATTCCTCTGGTTGTGTTACAGAGCCTGAGGGCTGCTACGTGCTGTTGTAAAACTTCCTGAAAAACGTATCAAACCAACTTCAGATATTTCCATATTCAGATACTTCCAAGATGTAAAACAAAACATCACTTCATCATTTATAATGCTCATTTCTAGCAACAAAGAAAAGCTTTATAAGAGCATTTTACATACTTTCTGACTATTAAAATTAAACACTGTTCATCAAGCCCTGTAAACCTTTGTAACTTTTGATCACATGACAGCCAAGCAAAAAGGAAAAAGTGACATTATGTACCGGAACTACATCAATACAGGAGTCCAGATAGATGGAGCCTTTTGATTCTTTGTAGTTTTTCTCATCTTTGTATGAATTCAGTATGTAAGAACCATCGGGGAGTTGAGACAGGTAGAAATACCTCCTCTTGAACACCTGTGGAGGAAAAAAAAATTACGCGTAAAAACTAGAGCCAGAAATACTGTGATATGTTTACAGACATTTTCATCCCTCATATTTATTTTGAAAATATCGTAAACAGAACAAGGATCTTTATGCTCACAAATGCTGCATTCATCTAATCAAGAATACAGTAAAAACAGTACCAATGTGAAATAAGTACAATTTTAAAGAATTGTAAAAATTTTACTATATTTTAAAATTTATTTTGGTCCTTTGATGGCAAAGCAGAATTTTCAGCATCATTACTCCAGTCTTCAGTGTCACATGATCCTTCAGAAATCATTCTAATATGCTGATTTGGTGCTCAAAAACATTTCTTTTTAATCCTAATTTCTTATTAATCTTAACTGTATACATATTTTTTATAATTTAAAGGGATAGCTCACCCAAAAATGAAAATTCTGTCATTAATTACTCACCCTCGTGTCATTCTAAACCCGTAAGACCTCAGTTCATCTTCGCAACACAAATTAAAGGGATAGTTCACCCAATAGATCGGTCTGTGCAAGAAACTGAACAGTATTTATATCGTTTTTTACCTCTGATTTACTGCAATGTCCGAACTGTCCTGAGCGCATCCTGAGCGCATGACGCGTCTTCTTCTTCTTGCTTTACAGCGGATCGCAGACTTATAAGTGCATTACCGCCACCTGACTCTCAAATGGACCATTGACACTCCTAATTGAGATTGTAGATAGAGTGTCAATGGTCCATTTGAGAGATAGGTGGCGGTAATGCACTGCGAAGGTAAGTCTGCGATCCGCTGTAAAGCAAGAAGAAGAAGACGCGTCACGCGCTCAGGATAGTTCGGACATTGCAGTAAATCAGAGGTATTAATAGTATATTAAATTATTTTTTGACCTCCCGACTAATGAGTAATGGCATTGAATAATCAGAATCAGAAGAGCTTTATTACCAAGTATGTTTACACACACAAGGAATGTTGACTTGACGACAGAAGCTTCCAGTGCTGAAGAAAGTACAGACATAGTGCAGACATACATGATAGTGCAGACATACAAAGGAATAAACACAGTAGGGATGGAATATAACACTAATATTGTCACGAATCCTGTCCATGGACTTCCGTTCGATCGCCACCAGAGGTCACCCTTCCATTACATTGACTCTCGCACTACTCAAACTGTTGCATGTCATCCCGGACTACATATCCCATCATCCATTGCACTGATTGCACACAGCTGTAACCAATCACACACTCACTATATTACCCCCACTCAGATCCCTTTCAAACTGCCGAGTATTGTTTTAGCGCTTATCGCTCATCATGTGATAGCTACTTTACGGAGCCATTCTAAATTCCTTAATCTAGTACTGCCTTGTTCTTAGTCTGTTTACCCGTGTCTTGATCCTTGCCTGTTATCTCGTTTTGTCTGATCTCTGCCTGCCCTGAAGTTTATAGCCTGTTTTGGAATTACCCTTTGCCTTGCTGTTTCGGACTGTGTTTGCACCTCGCCTGGACTCTAGCTCGTCTTGTGGATTCCCCATTTGCCTCGCCCTCAGGATTACGTTCACCGTCGACTGACTCACGCCTTCCTTTGGATACTCTTTTGTCTTGCCCTCTATATACCTGTTTGCCATTGTCTGACCCATGCCTGTTTTATGACCACGTCTCTGTCTTCTATTAAAGCTTTGCAAATGGATCCGCACGTCTCGTCGGCTCCGTTACACATATAAGAAAAAATAACTGAAATTAAATAATGTACTATATTCATGATAGTTAATACATTAACTAACATTAACTAATGGAACCTTATTGAAAAGTTACCTTAATATTAAATATCAATATATAATTTTTATTCACTTCTATGTAACAGAATCAGATATAAGTTGTTGTTTGTTTGTTTTTTGACTAATTATCCAAATAATGTATGGTCCTACAAAGCTATTATTATCAGAGCATATGAGCA